TGGGAGAGAAAAGGGAATCAGATAAGAGAATACATGTTAGTGGGGGTTAATGTTACCTCTCCCAAATACATAGTTTTTATGTTAATAGTAACATTTTATGGACAATATCTTCCTGCTGCAGGTCTCAAGCAGGGCCCAGGTGCTCCCTGGGTCATGCACAGGTATACCAGGAATCCTATAAGCCCGAGTCTGGTTAACAATGCACAACCTGAAGGTCTGGGAAAATAATTGCATGTGAAGATAAAAAATGGATATCTTAGGGAGAATGTCAAATTTTCATAAAAGTACAAAGTTAAAATGAGTCCCTGAAGGCCCCAGTCCCAGGGCATACAACTTTATTCCCATTAGTGTTGGGGTGAGTTCTGGGGAGAAGTTTGGGAAGCACTAATGGGGTTCACTTTAGGCTATACGCTGGATCTTTAAGTCCTATATTGAAGACTGGTGACCACACATTTGCAAGGGGGCAGGGCTAGCACCTTCGGCGGCTCACGGCAAATCCTGGTGTGCTCGGCACGGTCCTAGATCAGTGTGTCATTTGTAGGTCAGCCATTTGCCCCACTAGACGTCATCACCCACTTAGCCACCGTGCATCTATCCAACATCTACCATCAGCTCATCAATGCTCTCTGTGCAGGGAGAATAATGGTGGACCAGCTAGGCGTTACTGTTCCCAAGGATTTCACAGTCTGGCAGGGAAGGTGCATGAAAAGGAGAGTCATATTATGCAGCACATCATTAGAAGAGTAGTAAGGATTCTGGAAAGGAGCACAGAGTTCTGTCTGCTGGGGGAGCAGTTGTTTCTCCCTGATCACATTCCCCTTAGAATAGTCCCAGCCAAGCTGGGAAAACACTTTTTTATTCTCAGTCCTCAGAATCTTAAAAATAAAGGCATATTCCCCCCTGCCCCCCATGGGATTCTGAATATTTTGCATGTTCAAAAAGAATGAGGCATGATTTAGGAGTTTATTATGAAACATTTCTGAAAATATAGGTATATATAAATTATGAAGGTCTATTTGATATTTCAAAGATATTAAAGATAGATACACATTTTTCATTATTCTCTTGCAGTTGTAATCTATTTTTGAGAATTAAATAAACATATATTATTGGCACTTTCTTGTTAAATCTGTACCCCAGAATATCATTTTTAGAATAAAACATTTTTGAGCTTCCTTTCCCCTACCCCCAGATTATTTTTTTCTCTGCTTCCTTCTTCCCCCCTCTCCCTCCCTTTCTTCCTTCCAGCATATATTCTGGACAGCATAACCGAATCCCGACAGTATAGGATATAGCGGTAAGAAAGACAACAAAAGCCATCTAAACCTATTAAAATACATTTTGGGAACAAATCGACCAAACACTGTTTTATCCAAATATAACTTGTTAGGAAATGCCCATTCCGAGAAGTGAGGCTCTCTTGCCCTGTGCGCTGATGCAAGAACAGATGACATCCTAAATGCAGGAGGTCTCTGTAGCTCTTCTCTGTATCCTGCTGAAAACCTTACCTTCTTTCAAGACTCCTGAAAGAACCATTCCAATTAGTGCAGTATACATTCTTAAGGTCCCATAGGAAATTTCAGATAAAATTTTGCAGCTCCAATGCTACTAGAAAAATCCTCTGGTGCCAAGATTTAGCCACAGGAGGATTCCTGTCTTTCTCAAGGCAGGTAAACACCCTCTGGCACTTGTCAGAAAATCTTCAGTAGTGTGGCTGTATTTGAGGGTTTATGAATACCCTTCACTTTTCTTGGGGAACTGCCTGGCTCCCCATACACCTTTCTTTGCCACGACCAAGTCAGAGCCAAATGCATCATTAGCTTGGGTCTACACCCTGACACCCTCACACGCAGGAGGCCCCGCGTCCACTCCTGGCTCGCTGGCCCTCCCAGCCCATCAGTGCACCGTGAACAAAGCATCGCAGAGAGCATGAGCTGCGGTGAGCGTGGCTGAACGGAACTCATTTTGTCACATTTACGGTGTCTGAGCTTTGTCAAGTTGCCTTCTCCAGTGGCTCTATTATTTGATTTTTAAGACAGTAAAAAGAAATAGTTCGTTAGGAAGTCCCCCTCTGCAGTCCAGCAATGCCAGAAGCCAGCTCTCCCAAGGGAGCAGAGCGGGCGCTTCTTCACTACCAGGTTACTAAAGACAAAACACTTCACTGGCACTTGCTGCTAAGGTACCTTTTGGGACCCAGGCCTACCTCGTTTCATTGCACTTCGCTGAAACCGTGTTTTTTTACAGACTGGAGGTCTGCAGCCACCCTGCCTCGACCCAGTCTGTTGGTGCCATTCTTCCAACAGCATTTGCTTCAGACACACTTCACGTGTCTCTTGTCATTTTGGTAATTCTCGCTGGATTTCAAACTTTTTCATTATCATTCTATTCGTTATGATGATCTGTGATCAGTTATCACAGCTCACTGAAAGCTCAGATGATGATTAGCATTTTTTTAGTAATAAAGTATTTTTAAATGAATTGTTTTACAATGCCATCGCCCATTTCATAGACTCGTATGGTGTAAACGCAACTTTTATATGCGCTGGGAAGCCAAAACATTCGGCTTGCTTTAGTGAGAGGGTCTGGGGCCAGAACCTGCACCCTTTCTCTCTGAGGTAGGTCTGTATTTTTCGTTCTGAAAAAGAGAGCTTTCTGGTCAGTGGATTTAGTTTCCTCGCTCCAAACGTCTACAACTTGTGAGGGACAGAGGCTTCTTGGCATGTGTTGGGAATCGAGGTAGTTTCATTTGCCTGGACTGGTCTACCTCAGGAACATCTCCGGGTAGCACATTACTGTTAGGAAGAAGGAACCTGAAAACATCTCTGATTTCTCTGTATTCATAGCTACATTTTTACTTCTCCACTGCAACCCTACACAAGATGTTTCAGCGTGCCACGCTGTGTCAGAGTGCCCTGGGGTCGACCCAATTCTCGAGCTTTGCTTCATAGGCGAGAATCCACGACAAACTCAACTGATGAATTAAAGGCTATACTTTGGTTTGAAGAAACTAAGTTTGTTTTCTAGAAGAATCTCTTTTCAAAGCAGGGTATATAACTTTTTCGTTTTTGTTTTTTTTTGTTTTGAATGACTGAATCAAAAACACACAACAATCCTCCAGAGAATATTTGCCAATTATCCAACCTAGTGGGACGTGAGGATTAAAAACAAAGTTGTCTTTAAAAATATCTCGAACGTGTTAATAAATTGCCCGGTAATGTGATGGTAATTGTAGAGATCTTTGAAATTTTATCAATTTAGCAATTGCATCAATACCAAAAACAATACCATAAAGACTTGATTGATTAGCCAGAAAATCCCTTTGTTTTATCCTTTTTTTTTTAAACGTTGGAAACCCTTTCTAAATATAAAGATTATTTCAGCAAAAAAAACTCTCCTTGTATAATCCCACGATAGCAGTGATCTTCGAATCACAGGGTCTTAGATCTGTAGGAACCAGCCGCAAATCTCATCCGACCCCTTCATTTCTGCATTCAGGACCCTAAACAGAGGTGCCAGATGGCTGTTCGAGGTCCCACAGTTGAATGAGCGCAGAGCCAGGCCTGGATAGTAGGTGCAGTCTACCCACTGCCCCTCCTACCACACCAGGTTGCTTCCCTGCTTAGCGACATGCTTGCGGATGTAGAGGGCCACTGGGAAAGACATATACTGACTCTAGGGGAACAGTGCTTCTTCTTGAAATTGTCTTTCTCCTACAAGCGGGATACAGAAAATTCCAGTTAGCAAAAGTGTCTGGTAGATGAAAACATTAAAGTATGCTTAATCTTGCTCTAACGATCCTCTGAACTAGCTAGACAACAGCCTAACCCTTCTGGGGGGCGGGGCAGGGCAGGGGGAGAACTGCACAATGGTTAAATTCACCAGGTAGCTCCTTGCCACCTGGCAGTGGGGCAGTGTCACTGTTCTAGTAGCTTCCATGATTTAAACAAATGAACAAAAAAAAAATTCAAATGTAAAATGCTCTCTTTTTAATTACTAAATTAAGAAAGTTAAACAATTTAAAAATGTAAACTCACAAATAAATCATAACAAAAAAAGGAATTAAGATTTCAGAGTTGCTACCCAGTATTAAAAACTTAATAGAAATAGGTTTTTTGATTTGTTGTTAAACATGTAATTCAAGGTTGGTACAAACAGCAACTAAAAATGTAGTACTTTTTTTTTTTTTCTTTTTTCCTTTTTTTTTTTTTTTTTTTTTTTTTGCATCCCCATGAAATGTAAAGTAGTGCATAGTTATTCCACTGGAGACTTCTCGGACATATAGAAAGTCATTTCATTAGCAGTACAGGATGTTTAAAACACTTATTTCACAATGGGAAATGTACAACCCCCCCCCCACCCCCCAAGTTTTAGTTGCATGAGAAAGTTTAGCAGGTTGCCAAGACTATAACGCTATGGGTTTTAGACCATTTAAATGTGGTTACAAGGTTTATTAAATAAAAAAAAAAGTTTGAAACATTTCAGCATTCATATTTTTGTACAAGAAGTATGTGTGGTTATCCACCTTCCAGTTCCCCTGGCGGTATTGGCCGTTGGCTTGCTTAAACACGCTTTTAGGTTTCAAGACCAAATTGCAGTTAAGTCAAAGCAAATACTGGAAACAGAACTTGTGAATCCAGCTCTGGAGCTGCTTTTGAAAAGAATCCAAGTAACAGCCATCTACAGGTACAATCATGAACCAAAAAAGTGCAATCTAAATTAAAAAGAAAAAAGGATCATGCTTTGCAAAAGCCAAAAAGGATGCCACTGGTGTGCAGAGTAATACCAGGGCTTTTATGCAGATTTGGCAGTAGAATCCTCACTCTGGGTCCCGAGGCTTTATGGCCTGGGTTGGCCATGGTCTCCACATTAGCACCCACGTGGTGTATGTACAGGGACAGATATATTACATATATATTCATATTTATAAAAAAGAAAAAAAAAAACAAACACCTGTCCTGATTGGTTTTTGTTAAAACATGAAAAAAAATTTTATTGTTTTAGACAAAGAGGCCACTTTTGGAAAATAATACTTTTTTTTTTAGTTGAATCAGGTGAAGACAGTTAAAATCACATAGGATTTGCATTTTAAAAAAAGGAAAGCACTAGGATTGTTGGCACTGGAGTAACTATTTACACTGAACAGAGGTTTGGCCTTTTACATAACATCAATACAATGCATTTTCCAAAGTCTGAGAAATAACAAGGTTCTGTCTCGTATGCTTCACAGAGGAGGTTCGGATTTGGGGACAAGTGTCATTAATGAGGGCCATGGAAGTTCGTCAGCTTCAGAGTCACATGCAATCTGATCCAGGACGGCTCTCGCTGCTCGGGCAGCAGCCGGCTACGGAACTGAAAGCTAATGGGGAGGGGGCGGGGAAGCCTCTTGGATAAGGCCTCTCTCTGCAGACCCAGGTCTCACAGGTTTTCACCAGGCTGGTACTGGGGCTCTGTGGCGGTGAAGTAGTCTTCCAGGAAGCCCTGCAAGTACTCGAAAGTGGGCCGCTCCTCCGGGTCCTTTTTCCAGCAGTGGATCATGAGCTCGTGGAGAGAGATGGGGCAGTCCTGCGGACAGGGCATCCTGTAGCCGCGCTCCACCTGCTCCAGCACCTCCCGGTTGTTCATGCCTGCAAGACAAGGCAGTGAGTGTGGGCCCTGCCACTCCCCTTCCTTCTACCTTGAGCCTGCACGTGGTTCAAGGGGCACTGCTCCATTCAGAAATAAACAGGAAATGTGCAACTGCTACCGATGAATCTCAAAAGCGTTGTGAGTGAAAGGAGCCAGACACAAAAGGCAACATACTGTATGATTCCGTTTCTGTGAAGTTCTAGTAAAAGCAAAGCTACAGTGACAGAAAGCAGATCAGTGGTCGCCAAGGGTAAGGGGAGGGGAACGTCTGCACAGGGGCTGCAGGGCACACTGAGGGGTGATGGGAACCTTCGGTTTCAGGGCTCAGCAATCAACGGCTGTAAAGGCCAGATAGCAAATGTTTGAGACTTAGTGGGCTGCATACGATCTCTGCCGCAGATTATTTTTCTTAATAGCCCTTTAAAGACACACGAAAGAAAAAACAGGTGGGAGTTGGATTTGGCCCACAGACCATAACCTGCCAACTCCTGTTCTAGATCTCGTACGTAGCGGTGTGACTAGTTCATGTTTGTCAAAACTCATTGTGCTCCCAAAATGGTTGAATTCTATTGTTTGTAAATTACAATTCTATGAAACTGATAAAAAAAATATGAATGAAGCAGGCAAAGAAACAGAAATCCATGGAATGAAACATACACTGTCCATGTTGATAGCATCTAGAAGCTCCACTTACGAACTTCATAAATTCGTTTTGCTTGTGCCCGGGCAAGCTTCTGGTGCCCCCCCTGCCCCCCCAGCCCGCACCCCCAGCTGAGATCTGCCATCATGTCGGCAAGGCTGGGTACCATCTGGCCCAGCGACCCCGAGGTGCCCTGGGGTTTGGTGACTTTCATGGGGAGACAGGGCGCCTCCGGGGGCTGTGTTTACTGATGACCTTGGACAGGCCATCTATCATTTGAGACCTCTGTGACCCTCTGGGGGAACTGCCTAATGTTGCGAGCTCAGGCTGCACAAACAGGAGACAGTCGGGGAGACTGCTAACCCTTCTGGAGGACGCAGCCTCCCTGCACGTTGGCCTTCCTGACAAGAGCAGGAAATACCATACGTGGGGTGAGGGGAGCGCCCTGACCCTACTCCAATCACTGCCAGACACTATCCTCTAGTTCTCCTTCCTTTTCCTGCCATATCGCATTCTGCCATCGCCTGCCAAGCACTTGTATGTTTTGGCTGCTCCCTTGGCCCCAAGTCTAATTTGGAATCCTTTCCAACCTCTGACCTGGTTTGTTTGTTTGTTTGTTTTAAACAAAATATGGTTTCAAGCCATGCAGAAACCAAGATTTTTTCCCCCTATCTCAGGGATACAATGAGAAGACCATAGCATATACACGAAGCAGTTTCCTTTAATTCTGGAGGAGCTGGGCCCAGGGCGTAACCTTGTCCTGACTTCTGGGGTCTGTTGCCATTCTTCTTGTTTTGTTGTTACTTTTGGACCTGGGTTTATCCTGTGGCCGCCAGCCATGGCCCTGTCAGTCACATGCCTGTACAAGCCCTTTTAGGATGCTTTCTTATTCTCTGCCACTGTAACTTCTTGTGATAAAATCCATATATCATTCCTGCTGTGTTGAAATAGGCCTTCAATTTAATTATTCTCGCATAACCTTGCTCATGTTTTGGGAGTGATGCCCCGTTTAGTGCGAGAGGTTTAATGAACCAATGTGGGCCCCCTGCCTCCATGCCATGCCTGATTTCACAGGTGCCCTCTTCAGTTGGGTGTTCGGTCAGCTCTGTGGCTAATTAGCTTAAATCCTCCTCCAACTGCTGAAAACTCATTTTGAAAACTCGGGATGGGGTAAGGAGCTGGAAGCAAGGGGCAAAACATGATGCTGCCAGGAGAACGTCCTGCAGACCTCTGGACAAATGGATCGAGGGGCAGGGGACAGCATTTCCTTATCCACTGTCCCTAAATCCCACAGGATCTGCAAACCAGAAGTGCTGGTAGTTCACTTGGCAGCAAAACTGGTCTGAACTGACCTCATTCTGGCCATAAACCCCGAGGCTATTTACTATTTTTGTTGATTCATACACACTGCTATAGAAATAAGAATGTATTTGAGTACGGACTTCTGCTTCAGACTCTCCTGGGATGTTATATAACGAATGGTCCGTGCACTGTATGCATGTTCTTTAAAAAAAAAAGTCTGACTTCAGCTACAGGCCTGAGAGTTATTGGAGCCTCTGGCCCGAGCGGTGGCAGCAAGAACAAGCACATCCCAGGCCAGAAAGGCGAGGGAGAGAGGGTAATCTCTTGTGAGGACCGGCATTCTCTAAAGCCTCTGCTCTGTGTTTTACTACAGTCCTTGGTTTCATAATCTCTCAGATGCCATATGACCCAAACCTGCAGAAATGCCCCCTTGTCTCTGCCCCTGCCAGGAGCCTGTAGGAACTGGGAGGAAAGACAGGCAGAAGGTCTGAACGGCCAGAAGGCCTGACAGGCCCTTCCCGAGATGGTTTCCTCTAACCCCCCCCCCCCCCCCCGCCTCCCAAACGCCTTCTAATGCTTTATTCTGGCATTGAGACTGTCCAAAATGGCACCACAGAGTTTAATTAATCATTCTCCGATTGCTCTGTGGGGTTTAGGTCAGTAAATGTTTCATTTCATTAAAAAACAAACTACTCAAATGGAAAGATTTCATGTATTTCTTTAAACTCTTAATCCAATCTCTGCCAATGGAAAGTTTAATTGGCCACTTGGGTCAGGCCTATTTTTCCAGCGCTCTGCCCAAGTCCCAGACACAGCAGATAGAATAACTTGACTCCAAGCTTTGTGCCAGTTCGGTTAAGCATCCGACTTCAGCTCAGGTCACGATCTCAAGGGTCCGTGAGTTCGCGCCTGGCCGCTTCCTGGGCTGATGGCTCAGAGCCTGGAGCCTGCTTCCCGGGTTCTGTGTCTCCTCTCTCTGCCCCTCCCCCGTTCATGCTCTGTCTCTCCGTCTCAAAAATAAATAAACATTAAAAAAAAAAAAGAATAACTTGACCCTATACCTGTAGCATCCCCCGAGACAGCCTGCTTCCTGGGCGGCTGTAGCTAGGGGGACCCACGTAGGCCACCAGCAAGCCCATGCCGACAGTCACGTGCCTGCTCCTTGTCTCGCTCCTCCTCTTTCTTCTCTTCTCATGCCTCCTCTCCCTGGGCCTCTCAAAGTACAGGGACCATATGTAACCAATTCCACACACTGGGCCAAAGCGAAACATACCAATGACAGCTTTGCCAGAAAAGCGGGAAACAAGACAACACACCGGCTGGTGACGACAGCGTGAGCGGGATCGGCTCTTTTCCAACCGTCCGTAAGCCAGAGCCCACACGGCTGACCTGCAGACGGCACCTTCACAACCCTGCACAATCGAGAGCTTGCCCGCCAAGCAAGGCTTAGGCTAGTTTTTACTCTACAAACAACTGCCGGATTAAGGGGGTTCATATTGAAAAGAATAGTTTCCTCAGCAATAAGAATAATTTTGAAAAATCATTTCAAGAATTTGTTTTTCTTTTTTCTCCCTTTTCAGTGGGGAGAATGCTAGCAGAGAAAGAGAAAAGACAGAAGCTTTAAAACATGGCATACGGGCATGTTTTAGGGAAATGCGGTCATCAACAGTTTGGGCCTCCGCGTTTCCTGGTAGGGGCTGCAATACAGACCCTTTTTCAGTGGGAGGGTGGTCTCCACCACCAGTCGTGGCTGACTGTGGGAGGTGTCATATTCACAAAGCAAAGCTGGGTGTGTGCCCTGCTTCCCAACCTCCACATCAGAGGAGGACCTAGGGGCTGGGGCCTCAACGCCGTCCTCTTCTGACCCCGCCGTACGGCCCCTGTCCTCTCACGGCGTGGGAAAATGGGCCACTGTCACGGCCACCCTCACAGGGTACTGCTTAATGGTCCTCAGTCCACGGAAACCTGTGGGGCCTGCTGGCTGTCCCAGGGTTTGCTTTCAGATTCCTCTTCCCCAGATCCTCCGCCGGGCCTCCTGTCACCACGGATTTCGGGCTTGCCCGGACATGGTCAGGGAGAGAGCATTGTTTCCAGTCGGTCTGCCCAAAGCACTAGAGCTGAGACTCTCCAGCCAAGTGGACTGTACTCACTTCCTGTTGTTAGGACTAGATTGTCCTTTCTAAATCATTTTGCTGGCTTCCTCCTGATTTCCGAATTAGGGTCAAGCTTCCAACTCTCACTATCGATTTTCCTGTGTGTGTGTGTGTGTGTGTGTGTGTGTGTGTGTGTGTTTTCTTTCCCTTTGCTCTTTGTTGTCTTTCTCCCTCCTCTTCTTTTAAACTTTCCTATTCTTCTCCTCTAAGCTACATATTAACTCAGTAGAGCCTCCCTTCCTTCTTTTCTTTTAGGTTCTTTAGAGAAGGAAAAAAAAAAAAAACAACCCTCATTTTCACTGGCAGAGCCGCTGCACTACTTCTGACTCTGTATCCTCTCATGGGGTCTCTCAGCAGATGACCTGACCTCCCCCGGCCTCAGTTTCTTCATTTGTCAACAAAATTGTCAACATTTGTCAACTGTGCTCTTAGCTGTTTGAAAAAAAGACAAAAAATGGTCTTCTATGACAGAAGAGGGTTTTGCTTTACGGCTTCCCGTTTGTGCAGCCTCCTAATATGGATCTCGGAGGGGCCGTCTCTGCACCATCAGGGATTTTCGCTGTTACCGGATCAAGGCTGCATCTGGATTTGACCATGGGTTGCAAGAACCTGGATTTTTGTGCCATGGAAAAATTAAGCACTTTTACAATGGGCATGATGTTAGGTTATCAGACATCAAGATTACTTTTGCAAACTGAGCTTTTCATTCAAAGGACATTATGCTCTATTGTGCATAAGGCTTTCGTCAGAGGCTCCCCCTTGCTTCTCTGCATAAACCCTGTAAAAATCTCCTTCTGTTTACTCGTCTGTGTCTGTTGAGCAGTGCTGTGCTAATGCCAGGGGAAGGAGAGCTATGCTAATGGTGCTTGCTCAGCACGAGCCTGTGCTACCAGACCGTCACGTG